ACTTGGAAGGGATGTAGGAGATACTGGATAGAGAGGGAGAACAATGTGGAACAAAACTCAAAATCATTTGGAGGCGGAAAAAAAAGAAGGTGGTGAGGACCAGGTTTGCTGGTCCAATAGAGCCCGATGGAACCACTGAGACTATTGGCTCCTGGCTGCCCTTCAAGTCTGGAATTGAACCCACAACTGTGGTTTCCAGCCAAACAAAGTACAGGCATGTGAGGTAAACATTTACCTCATGTAGACACACGCCCTGGAGAGAACAATCATGGGAGAAGGAAGCGCTGCTTATGCCCAGGGAGACAGCTCAGGGCGCAGTAGAGTATGGAGGGATGGACACTGGGAAGAGGTAACTATGGGGAGGAAGTGGGAGGAGAGCTGTTGCATTGTGATAAACTGTGGTGAATGACATGAGACAAAGTATATGTGAACTGCTGTAGGGAAAGTGAATTTGCTCTGTAAATCTTCACCCAAATCACAATAAATTAAAAAAGAAAAAAAGATATTTCAAACCAAAAAAATAAATAAATAAATTATCCCAGGTTACATAGATGGAAAGAAGCAGAGCCAAGATTCATACTCAGTCTCACACTGCAGCCAGAGCTCTCAACCGTTACTTTATACTGGCTCCAAAGATAGGTAATAGGTGTTGTTGTTGTGTGCCGTCAGGTCAGACCTGACTCATAGCGACCCCTCCTTGGGTTTCTGAGGCAGTATCACTACGGAAGTAGATTGCTCCATCTTCCTTCCGATGAGTGGCTGGTGGGTTTGAACCGCCAGCCTTCTGGTTAGCAGTCAAGTGCCGTAGGCACTATGCTCCAATTAGATTAACCAACATATGTTGTTGTTACGTGTCGTAGAGTCGGACCTGACTCCACATACACATGTATATATTTACTTTGTATACTTTTATATAAGTAGCCCTGGTGGTGCAGTAATTAAGCACTCAGCTACTAGCCAAAAGGTCGTCAGTTTGAACCCAACAGCAGCTCTGCAGGAGAAAGATGAGGCATTCAGCTTCTGTAGAGATTTACAGTCTTGGAAACTCTATTGGGGCAGTTCTACTCTTTCCTGTAGGGCACTATGAGTCGGAATCAACAGCAATGTGTTTGTTTTCCTTTTCTTGGTTATAGTGCATGTATACCACTGTATTACTTTAAATATCATAATAATGTGGGTTTTTTGCTATATAAATACTATCTTTAAGACTATTTCCTGCCCCTTTATTTTTTGAAAATGGCACATAGGAGCTATACAATGCATTGATTTTAAAACAGCTTTCAGAACCCTAGGAAATGAAATACTCATTAAAAAAAAAAAAAAGCAAATTCACTGACATCGAGTCAGTTCTGACTCATAGCGACCCCTCCTTGGGTTTCCGAGGCAGTATCACTACGGAAGTAGATTGCCCAACCTTCCTTCCGAGGATTGGCTGGTGGGTTTGAACTGCCAGCCTTCTGGTTAGCAGTTGAATGTCTTAGGCAGTACGCCACCAGAGTTCCTAAAACACTCATAGGCCTGTACAATTTTTTTTTAAGTTATACATATCATGTTTGTTTGTTTTCTTTCTTCTAAACCCCTACAGCCCCAATGTGAGATACAGGGTGGCCTAATTATGGCTACCCTTGTCATGAAATGTATATCAAGGCTTGCTCACTAAGTATGTCTTAGGTACTTGGTGACAAAGAACACTATGTCAGGATTTAATTCAGGAAACATTGAAGATAAGAGATATGTCCTTCTGAAACAGCTCGTTTACAGAATTGACTTTTGTATTTCATCTTAATAAAAGGGGCTCAGTTTCAGCTGTTTTTAAAGTTCCTTTTGAGTATTATCCTTATCTCCTTTTATTCACGGTTCTGATTTATTAGACCAAACTACTTCTGGTTTATAAAATCTACTTAATGTTTTTCTGCTTTGATTTTCTTCCTTACTTTCTTACGTTACATAAATTGAAAGAAACACATCTCATCCCTGATATTTACTGTAGTCTTTCTTCCCAAAATATATTTTCTTCCTAATATATTTTGGCATGATCTGTCACAGATGTCACAAAACCCCTATTTAAAAAAAAAAAAAAGAAGAAGAAGAAATTCATTCTACCTCTTTTTGAAAGTGGTAAAATCAGAAGAGAGTTTCTTTAATGTGTTCAAGGCCTTAGAACCAACTTGTCTGGACCTACCTTTAGAAACCTAATGGGTTTCCCAGTTAGTTTACACTGTTTATTTACCATGTCTTCTTAACCAGTAAGCATCCAATCTCTTGGTTTTGATTTCCTCTCTACTGACCTCACAGTTTGGCCGGATTATGCACCATCCAGCCCCACATCTTTATGCAGTCTTCCTCCCAGATGAAAGCACCAAAATATGCATTTCTTTGTAGTGAGGTTAGCACTGCTCATGAATTGTTTCTGTTTGGGTCTGTAGGGATCGCCTGCTTCCACAGTGGATTCCATTATTAGCTGAGTGTCCTGCCATCACCCGAATGTATGAAGAGAGCGCCCTCCTGAGAGATCGCATGACTGTCAACTCCCTCATCCGCATCCTGCAGACCATTCAGGACTTCACCATAGTCTTGGAGGGATCACTCATCAAAGGAGTGGATGTGAACCCAGTTGGCTAAAAACTCAGTCCAGACCCCTTGTTCCTGAACCTTCCCCAACTAAACAAATCCACGCAGACTGATTTCGACTTGTCTGATGCAGTAGTGAGTCACTGCAAGGGGCAGCCCGCCATATGCCCCAATTAGAACAATCTTTACGCTGCAGACAAGGCAAATGCTGTATTGTAGTTCATTTGAACCTGGAATTTAGTTTAAAAAAAAAAAAATAGAGTATTTTCATGTGTTAGACGTGTGTAAATATGCTATCTTTAAGAAATTATATTACTCTAATAAGATACTTTTCTTAGATTGAATATTACTGTCACTTAAAAATAAGTAGTTTAAAAACGTTGGGGGTTGGGGGAGAAGAGTGGTGCTAGTCAGGAAGAAGCCAGTAAACATGTAAATACAGTGCAACCCAGTTGGGCTTTTTTTTCTCCAGGTATCACAGAGGAACCCAGAATGATTGTTATGTTGTAGCCGTCCATCCTGGTGTCCAATCCTTTGTATTGTGAATGTAAACTGCTTTACCTACTGTATGGCAGAGTCCTCATTTGTATCTTCTAAGTTACAAACTGTTTCATACACTTGAATTGTGAGTCACTTTTCCAGACCTTTGGAAAATTTTTTCAGTCAGCACAAGATGAAGATATAATTCAAATATTTTAAATACTGGACCCCAGGAGCTTGGCTAAACTGGAAAGAGAACACACAAAACCTGAGAAGTGTGTTAAATTGTGGGATTATAACTTCTTTACACTTTGGAAAGATTAGCCTAGACTAACTTCATTCTTGGCATTTTTATTCTTGCTATTTGAGGTACTTTGGGGAAATGTGACTTTCAAAGTGTTGGCCTCCTAGTCATAAGAACTGCAAACAGCAGTTTGATTCTGTACTTTTAATTTGGCCATCTAAACTCTGCCCTGGTGCATTCCCTCTTAAGGATAACCACAGCCCCGTCTTTGTTGGGTTCTAGTCACCCCCTTCTCCCCTCTACCCATGCCCATCCCCCTCTTGGGGAAATGGAAAGAATGTTTAAGAAGGAGGAGGGCTCTGTGGCTTGGAATGTTTTTGTGAAAGTATTTGTTGACCATGATAATGCAAATAACAGAAGGAGAGAAAAAGAATGAACTCTTTCTGGGTGTTTCAAGGGAAGCTTTATGTTTCTTTGTGAGAAGTGTAATAATGTAAAACAACTGGCCCAGAGAAGTAAAAAGCCACTGCAGCACAGACTGACAAAATGAAAGCAAAACAAGGGGCAACAGTTTTGAAAAACCAAAAGATGTAACTTTCCAGTTATTCTTTTATAAGACAGTTAAATGTGGTGTTAGTTACTTAAGTCTTCATACTGTGGTAAGTCCTGTAACTCTAATTAGGCACTTGCACATTTTAGCAGTGAAATTGCCTCAGCTTTGCTCGAGCTTTATTCCCAGTGTGGCTGAGAAGCAAAGACATGGCCTCTCAAGATCTTTGTGCAATCTGAAGGTGCTGGGCTTTCACCAACAGTACTGTTTCCCTTATTTCATGGAGGAAGAATCTAATAAAACAGGTGCCTCCGTCCCTTTATCAAATACTACATTCATTCTTGGCAGCCAAGCAACAGCCCCTTTGAACATAATGTGACTTGGGACTTGAGAAGGAAAAGGGGGGAGCTGAAGGCTGCATTAGAAACCCATGGGAAGGGTTTCAGAAGATCGTCCTGGGTGACCTGGGTACACCTGAGATTTGTTTACCTCAGGCTAAGCCGTGTCTGCAGTGATGTGACTAGTCCAGTGATAACTGAATGTCTGTTATGGGAGACCTCTAGAACCTGTTTTTATAACAGGCTATTACTGTGTTTCATTGATCAGAAACAGTCCATTACAAATTTAACCACAATCCAGGGTTTCATTCTTGTTATCTTTTCCATAAGACCATTCTTCTGACACTCTGGGCAACCAGTGAAGATGACCTACATTAGTATGCTAGAATTGAGTGTAGTTCACCCTTCTCCTGTTATAGATGGGAAGACTTCAGGATCAGAGAGATTAAATTCTTTCCCCACGGCTGGACAGTGACAACACAAAGTCTATAAAATTAATATATTTTTGTTTTTTAATTACACTGGGTTGCCTAAAACCAGATATTCAAGGCATTCTTTTAGTGGTCTTCGATCTTTATTCATCCACTTCTGCAGATGCTAAGCCAGGTATATAGGTAGGAAATAAAGATTAGTGTACATGTTAATAAATTGCTCTCAAGTTATTGAGAATTACATCTGTTATAAAAACTAGGAGCAGAGTTGGATGATTTGAGGCCTGTAAATGAAACCATTACTTTAAAAAGTTATACCTGAAGTTTCATCTCACTTTGTGTAGTATAACAGTGAAATGCTGATTTTTAAAAATAAAATACACCAGATTTGGCACATCCTTCTGACTGCTCAGCCCTTTTGAAATGTAGTTACTTGAGGAACTAGTGATATGGCCAGTGCCCTAAGCATGTGAAGAACTCCGTGTGAACTGCCTCAATGACCTACAGCCCGTTCTTTCCAGTATTCCTAGTAGTAGTAAATTTGGCCTTTCAGAATGCATTTAATATTTGGAAACAGCAATAAGTCCTTAAGATCTAAGTCTGATAAATAAAAAGAATGCTTAACTGAGTAATAGACTTTGGGGTCATATACTAATAGATAAGACCTAGTTTTTACATGGCATATAACTGTCTCTGAGCCAGTACCAAAATATTTTGAGTAGAGCAGTAGCAGAATCCTTAGAATAAATGTGCACAGCCTTTCACGTTGACTTCTGGAAGGACCACACCACCTAGAGGTATTCTTTCTGTTAATATTAAACATTGATGTATTCCTGTATGATCATAAATCACAAGTGAAAGCTAATAAAAATCCATTTTTAGTTGACTTTTTATATATCTTAAAAGTAAATGCCTGGGACCATAACTAGTACTTTCACACAAAATAATAGCTTGAGAATAAGTTTTTTAAAATTGCCAAAAATTGTACCTCTTGAAAAATTATTTTTCAAGTGTTTTTCACATATTCTGAAACCTCTAATCTCAATCTTTATAACACAGCAGCATTACACTGATATTAAACTTACATGTGAGGTCCTGTAGCCATGTCCTGGTCAGGAATCATTAACTCCTAAAAATGATTGAGGCTCAGTGTTTATGAAATAGGGGTAAGTGAAGTTCTAGGTGAAAATAAGGCTACCAAGAATGAAAATAAAGCCTCTTACACTCTTTCCCACTGGGGTGAGAATTTAATATAAGAAATGACCAACAGGTTACAAAAGTCTGTGATTTGCCTCTAACTTTTATTTTAAATGTTTAATTCATTTTTACATTTTTTGTGACCCTGTGATACTTACTTGTAACATGGCTTATTTTTTAAAAAAATCATTTTAGTGGACTTCTTTCACACTATATGAATGATAGAGAATACTGAATTGTTGATACTTTCTACTTTGGCAATAATGTAAGAATGTAGTGAACGAGAGAGGCTGAGACTATACATATCAGTTTGTGTATATTAGATGTTGACATCCCTAAGATATTTTGAAACATGAGGCAACTGACAAGGACTTCAAGAGCCACAGGGGAATGTTTATTTGACAGCACTGAGAGCGTAGCTGTTCATAATGAAATACCTTCTTTCTGCAATGACTTACGAGTTTTTAGTAGATTATTTTCATTTAGGGAACTGTGACTATTTCTCTGGGCAGTTTACAGAAACTAGTCTTGCCCTTTTCACCATGTTGAAAGGGTAATTGAAACTTAGGTATATATTTCAGTATTAACACACCTTCATTGATTGAGAATGGAGTCTTGAGCCCTTTTTTGGAGTCTTTTGAAGTCTCTGTTTTCTTACATAGTATTTGCTACATTTTTATCTACCATAAAAGGGAGACAGAAAATAATAATAAACTACTAGGTTCCTTATTCCTGTTAAAGTACATTTATAAATACCTTGGAAAAAAATTGAATTAGAAGGTAGAGGTTGCTGATTGTGCTGTGATGAAAAGAATCCAAGGAGAACCTCATCCTCCCAAGTCTTACTAGAGTTCAGTTGCCCTCTCAAGGACAAAGTAAAGATTGGCTTTGGAAAGATGATACATGGAGCTGTAACACCAAAGTGAAAAAAAATCCATCAAACCAAATTTCTCCCCATTTGAAGGGATCCAGGTATCCTTGGGTTATTTGGAAGGGAATCATGCTAGGTCCGATTAGTTGAATATATTTGTGTGTGAATTCAATCTTTATTCCCAACACCAAATCTTGTTGACAGTAGAGAGGTATGGTAAAGAGTTTCTGTTGTCAGTCATCTGAGGGTGTGAGACATAGAAAAAAAAAATCTGTGTTACACTTGAACCATGTATAAATGTATCCTGTGTATCTTTAAAAAAAAATTCTGCATTTAAATTATATTGTTTTTCTTTCTATTGTTAACAAACACATCAGAACTGGATTTTTTTTTTCTCATCTGAACATAATATAAATTTTAAAAAGTATTGTGATATCAAGCACTTTAACATACATATCATAGAAACTGATGTGGGTTTTTCAGGTTTTGGAGTACATTTAAATAAGACTTTTCATGCTTTGTTCTTTACAAATAAAATTGTGGGATTTACTTTGTTTTGCTTCATTGTTGTAGAATCTTAATATTGAGTGGTTCACAGGATGAGTGAATTTAGAAAGTAGAGTAAAACCAAAACAACTATGTAGGAAAAAATATGGCCTGCTGGGAGCTTGGTGGTGAAGTGCCTAAGGCATTTGAATGCTAACCATAAGGCTGGCAGTTCAAACCCACCAGCCATTCCTTGGAAGGAAGACTGGGCAATCTGCTTCCATAGAGATACCAGTCGGGAAACCCAAGGAGGGGTCACTATGAGTAGGAACCAACTCAAAGGCAGTGAGTTTGGTTTTGGTTTGGAGTAGTCAAGTAGAACTCCCACAACTCAGCAACAGAAATGCAAACAATCCAATTATAACATGGGTGAAAGATCTGAATAGACATTTTC